GGGTACCGGCACCGGCGGAGAATCCCTCCCCGTGTTCGCGGACGGGCACGGGTTGCCCCTCGTATTCTGGCGGGCAAATTGCGCTCACAGGGCACCTATTTCCGAGGGGTTCGGCCCACAACCGACGACAACTGGCATTCACAATGGATCTGATTCAGCTTCACGAATGGACGAAGAGGGGAGTAGCGACTACAGCGACGTGGAGTTGGTAGAGCTCGCAAGGCATTCATCAGCTGTCTCGCTGAAGTTCTGGAAGGGTCGCAAGCGGAATCGCGACAAAATCGATGGTAGCGACGATATCAGGCAGCAGACAGCGAAGAGAGGAAGGTCTCGAGCGATAAACTCTAAGATCAGGAAGTGAGGGCAGACCTCGGCCTCTGCTCTATTACGTAGAGCGGAGGATGAGGTCGCTGACTTAACGGTAATAACCGCAGCCACGCGGTCAGCACTACGACAGAGTGACAGTCAAAGATGGCGCAACAACGGCCATCCTGCAGGTGCTGAACTGCGTGGCAAGCATTGAGAAGGTCTCCGCCATGTCTAAAAACCTGAAAGGAGAGTTCAAGCGTGCCCTTAACGTGGCGACTGTCGCCATCAAAGAGGCAACAGAGACTCTCGCTAAGTGCAGCGTCTCAGCCGAAATGTGAAAGCTGCAGGCGGACAATGACCGTCTGCAGACTGAGCTCAATGAGCTGTGAAAAGAAGTGACGGAGCTGAGGGCCAGTATCATCAGCACCAGCAAAAATCCAGGGATGGCCCCCGTACGAGCGCATGCAACACTTGCACCCGGCGTGCAGAGACCTGACTTGGAGGAGATGGAGAGCCTCTTCATGCGGTGTGCAGGAGCCATGATGGACGCGCGATTCGAGGGCATCGAGGGCAGACTGCTTCGACTGGTGCGGGTCCGCCCTCCACTGGCCGCTAACAGACGCCAGCAGCTGCAGACACCTCAAGTACCGGAGGCTGCGGTCGCCTCGTATAGTGCGGCTACTAAGAAGGGGCTAAAAGCCCCTTCTTCTCAAATGGTGCGAGCGAAAGCGGCCAAAAAGAAGAAAAAGAAGAAGAAGAAGAAGCGCAAAAAGGCAACACCAGCCTTAAGCACTCCGGGTGAGGCACCGCGACCGGAAGTGGCGCCGAAAGACGGCTGGACTGTGGTCGGTGGGAAACGTGCCCAAAAGGCAATGCCCCAGCTCGGCAGAGGCAACCGGTGAAGGGACCCATCCAGCCACCCAAACCGAAGCTCCGTCCTCCGAGGTCTGCAGCGGTGGTCCTCACACTGCAGCCGGAAGCGGATAAGGAGCTGACATACGGCGCAGCCATTGTCAGGGCCAAGGCAAGCATTGACCTTTTCGTCCTTAGCATTCAGGCCGTTCGTTTTCGAAGGGCAGCTACCAGAGCCACAATGGTCTCTACCACCTACGTGCCGGGAGCCGACAATGGAGGTAAGGCCGACTCTCTCGCGGCAAAGCTCAAGGAGCTCTTCCCCAAGGAGGCCCCACTATATCTCTCCTGTAATGACGCCCCCTGACACGCAGACGAGCCCTATGGCGGATGGGGATATTCAGGAAGTGTCAGAGGGTCAGTTGGGTGCAGCCGTGTTGCGGCTTCAAGCAAAGAAAACGGCACCCGGCCCTGATGTAATCCCCACATGTGTCCTCGCCCTAAAAAACGGCCTGGATACCCGTTTCCGGGCACTCCTCACCGCGTGCCTAAGGCTCTTCCCGAGCCGGTGGAAAGTGGTAAAGTTGGTCCTGCTAAAAAAGGAGGGGCGGCCTGCTGATTCTGCGTCGGCATACCGCCCAATCGTGCTGCAGAACTTACCCGCCTCATCAAAGGCGGGTAAGCTCTTTGAGCGCGTTATTGCAACCCGCCTCATCCACCACCGGAAATAGGTCCGAACTTGGCGGATGTTCAGTTCGGCTTCCGTCGGGACAGGTCCACCATCGATGCTATTGCACGGATGAGGGCCCTTTCAGAAGAGGTTGTATCTCCTGGCCGGGTGGTATTAGCGGTGTCTTTAGACATCACTAATGCGTTTAACTCCTAGCCACGGGAATGTATAAGGGAAGCGCTTCGATATCACAGGGTTCTTCCCACTTCGATAACACTTTATCTGCAGAGGGTGATCGCAACCTACCTATCCGGGCGTCAAGTGATGTTCCCCGGTAGAGACGTCTGGGGGCGATGGGAAGTGTCGTGCGGTGTTCCACATGGGTCGGTCCTGGGTTACCGCTCCTGTGGAACATCGGGTACGAATGGGAGCTGCGTGGGAGTCTCATGCCTGGAGTTGGCGTCGTCTGTTACGCAGACGACACGTTAATGACAGCCCGCGGCGAATACTATAGAGAGGTGTCCATTCTAGCCACGGCGGGGGTGGCAGAAGTAGTGGGGAGAATCCGCCGGCTAGCTAGGGCTAGAGTTTAGGGGGTGAGTGACCCACCCCCTAACCCACCGCCTAACCGAAACGACACGTCGCAGTTGATTTAATTGCAATTGATTTTAATTGCAATTGATTTCAATTGAATTGATTTTTTGATCTGATTGAATTTCTGATTGAAATTTAATTGATTTGGACGTTACCAACACTGTTTTGGACATTACGGTCGACTTTGCTTGCATATCATGACACTGTTTATGAGCAAGTGTGATGAAAATATTCTTTAATACACATTGTCAGAGTTGGGCAGCATTTCTGCCTAAAGTCGTGAGCGGAAACGGCGAATATATAATTTGGTTTAATAGACATATTACAAATATTGATTACAAAAATGTATGAAAAAGAGACAGGCAAATCGAATCGTCTAGATCAGAAAGGAATAAACATTTTGTACTATTACCATTTGAACGAAACTCGATGTATGTATGTATGTACGACTTAGGTACAACAATTATTTAGGTGTAAATAGTTTTTGCCCTTTAACTCGAGCATTAATGGGTTTTAAACCATAAACAAAGCGCTGTGTTACAGCTCCGGCGCTAGCTCATTTCATTGTATTAAAATATCTTCTAATAGAACCTTCATAATGAATGCTATGTAATACATTACATTACATACATTACGCGTCGCGACGCTTCGACTCTGCGCCAGTGTGAGTTGAGCCTTTTTTGGCGAAGCACGTCGACGTTTGGTGGCGGCTTCGCACGTCGCCGCGTGTCACTTGGGCGCCGTGAGGCGTCTGACGCCGACAGTATGTGATCCCGGCGCACTAATGCGAGAGTCATCGAGTGTCGCCAGGCGGTGTAGTTGAAAAACAGGACGCGACGCGACGCTTCGACTCTGCGCCAGTGTGAGTTGAGCCTTTAATGGTAGGTTGCATAAAAAGGATTTTATGCTGTAGTGCATAAAATTAAAAAACCATCACATTAAATGTCTAATTGTTGTAATTTTACATCAATTTTAATTAAATAATCGTTTTTTTTTGTTATATTGCTGTTTAATTTCCTCGCAATCGAAGTGAAAAGCAGAATGTATAACTCGTTCATAAAACCCATTTTACCCTGGACTTACTATCGATACTCGATATACTCGTTTCGGGTAAAATGACACGTTTTACGGCACGTACATGTACGGACAAAGGCACATCAGACTACACATTTTTGTTCGAAAATCGCCTCCATTGCAACGGAACAAGATACGTCAAGGCAGCACATCAAGCTACACATTAGCTTGATGTGCTGGCGTGGACTACAATACTATTACATACTTTTGTAGTAAAGAAAGACAAAAATCAATCGGAAAAATAATAACACTTTGTAATAAGAAACTAAATTATGGGATGGGTTAGATGTTGCATAAATAAAATAATTATACTGCATCCTTTTTAACCGACTTCAAAAAAAGGAGGAGGTTCTTTTGTGTATGCTACGCGTTTGCTCCGGCATTTGTGAACGGATTTTGAGGATTCTTTTTTGTTGGAAAGTGGGTACCTCAGTATTGGTCCCTTTTATATTTAGAGAAAATATTCCACCTCTTGAGGGTCGTATTCTAGAACTCTACTCAAGTCCCTGCCATTAGGGTCGTATTTCCAGTGCTTGTGTTTCAATTGCAATCCTGACTTGAGCATTGAGTAGAGTTCTAGAATACGACCCTAAGAGTAGCATGTTAGGGGATCATCATGAACCTAATTAAACAAGGTTTATTGGATTGTAACCACTTTCCGATAACAATTTTCAATAAAACTTTGCAAATAGATTTAATTCTACAAACTTCAGAAGTTGGTTTTTTTCAGTGTTGGGCGTTAATTTCAATCAGAACTTCAATCAGATTAAAAATTATAATAATAATTATATAATATAATAATAAAAATTGCAGTCGCAATTAATTTTAATTGCAATTGATTTCAATTGAATTGATTGTAATTGCAATTAAATTAATTGCTTTTTTTTTATTGTTCTAAGAAACAATTGAAACTAACAATTAAAACCGAAACTACCGAATAAAAGTGTCATTACGAATATGGCACTCATTTCTAAATCCAAAATGGCGTGCAAGATTTTGAGTGGGTGGGTGAGGGGTGAGTTAGGGGTGGGTTGAGGGGCGTGTTAGGGGTTGGGGCAGGACCTTTAGGATTCACTCACCCACCCACTCAAACCTACTGAGTGAGTACTCAAACCCAGGGGGTGGGTAACCCACCCCTAACCTACGCCGTAACCCACCATCTAACCTACCCCCTCACCCACTGCCACGCACTCACCCATTCACTCACCTACTCACTCATGAAAATAATAAATAATGTGTCAAAGAAACAAATGGCAGTGTGCACTTACTAAATTGTTGTCATTCATAATATCTGATTGATGACTGAAGCTTACAATTCTTAGAGACTGGGTATCTTTAAGTTATAAAACATTGAAAGATATCTAATAAACCTAATAGTTGTGACTTTAAAGGGAAATGTTATCGTTATCAGCTACTTACGTAAGCGTCAGTGTACATTGTACTATTCGTGTTCATCAAGGCGTAATGATAAGAACATAGCACATAACATATTAAAACCAATCTATTGTAGGCAGAGTTTAATTTCAACAAAAAAGGGCAGTAACTATTTTAAAGTAAATGTTACATGCACTCTATTTTACAAAGCATGAGATAACTATTTAATCGAATCTTAACTCCAACAAACGAAGTCAATAGACATAATCTCTGTAAATAAATAATTAAAAATTTTGTAACAATAACCATACTATTACCAAAAGAATATTTCTAAAAAGTCACATAGTATGCCTAAACAACTAATTAAGACCTATTTTTAATTTACAATTTGATCATAAGGATTACTCAGTCAATCCTTGCACACATCAAGGGCGTCCTGTTTCTCTTCAGCCAGCTCCTTGCCCGTAGTGTCGAGCATCTGACGAGCAAAGTCAGAAATGGTCAAACCTTCTACAATCTTCCACTTTCCATTGCTGACAGTCACAGGAAACGAGAATACTACATCACGGGGTGTTCCATATGATCCGTCTGAAACAACACCCATGCTGACCCATCGGTCTCCAGTACCCAAGAACCAGTCTCTCATGTGATCAGCAGCAGCTTTGGCCGCCGATAATGCCGACGATAACTTCCTAGCTGCAATAACAGCAGCACCACGCTTTTGAACAGTGCTTACAAATGCGGTCTTCAAATATTCGTCATCTTTGATTGCAGCTGGCACAGATTTTTCAGCACCTCCAATATTGACTACAGCATTTGATGCATCAGGAAACTGGGTGGATGAATGATTACCCCAGATAATAACATTCTTGATATTTTGAACCGGTACATTCAATTTAGCAGCCAACTGAGCTTGTGCACGATTTTGGTCAAGGCGTGTCATGGCTGTGAAGTTTTCTTTAGGAATGGAAGGAGCATATTTAGAGCAAATCAGAGCATTTGTGTTTGCCGGGTTGCCAACAACAAGGACCTTGACATCTTTCCGGGCTACTTTGTCAAGGGCTTGACCTTGTTCCTTGAAAATGCGTACATTGGCAGCAAGAAGGTCTTTCCTTTCCATACCCTCTTTTCGTGGCATAGCACCTACTAAGAATGCTGCAGCCACATCTTTGAAAGCCTCTTCTGGGTTAGAGGTGGGGAGAACACCGGCAAGTAGAGGCAAAGCACAGTCAGCCAGTTCCATGACTACTCCTTCAAGGACACCCATCATGGGTGCTATATCAAGAAGGTGCAGATAGACTGTTTGTTCATTTCCAAAGACGGCACCAGACGCAATTTGGTATAACAGGGAGTAGGCAATTTGACCTGCCGCTCCTGTGACTACAACTTTAATTGGGGCTGCCTGGAAAAAAATAATGAAATAAAAAATTAAAACATAGGTAAGTAAAAACTAAAATTATTTGTTTTGTATGATATAAGACTAGTTGCAATTTAAATACAAATGTCTTTATAAAAATTACAAATTTAATAAAATTTATTAGTACAACATTAATTGCAATAAAATAGCATTGCAGGCGAAATTACCATGACTTTAGGCGCCATAACTGTAGTGAATTCTGTGTTGTCAATGCTACAGCAAAAACATGCCATAGTAATACTACTTAATAACCAGCCAGTACTATCATAAACCCGATTGAAATTATTAAATAATCTATATGTGCCCTGTGATAAAAATCATAGCTCCATTTCTACTTCGATTATGAATTATGTATTTTAATAAGCGGTAGGTAGATTTAAAGAGATTTAAATCTCGATTTTGATACTTAGCGATATAAGTACAAATCGTAAAATACTTAATACTATACTGTCTCAATTATCTAATGTAGATATTTGAAGGTCAACGCAATGTCACTGGAAGTAAATTGTTAATAGGAACTCACCATTTCTGAAGTCCAGTAAAATAGATTTATCAAAGAATCAGATTGAACACGTTCTGTTCTTCACAAATTTCTATTTATTTTATCTCAATACCGTTTAACACCACCGCCGCGCCGGTAGCCCTGTTCTATTTGCGCAGTTTGCCAGATTGACCAGATTCACTGTTTTTGCACACATACACACTACCGGAATTTCGTGATTTTTCAATAAACAGCAACATACCCTACTTCTAGCCCTTTTTATTTTTGTATCTGGCTCGGGCACTTTGCAGTGAGCGTTAAATATAAGTGACTTTATGTGTACATACACACTACCCGATTTTGGGATTATTAATATTGTTGTATCCTGTTTCATCAAAAATTTTCAAAACACAAACTTTGCAGATTTTTTAAATATTTTGTTAGCTTTTTGTATAAGTAATTTATGACGAAGGTTGAAAAAATTCGATCAAGACTTGTTTACAGGTTGAAAACGAATCACACAAAAAAGAGTCCCGACTATAAGGTCCAACTTCGTTACGGCTAAGAAAATGCGAAATCCAATCAGACAAAAATATTTTAAATTCGATTACATAGGTGGAAATTATTTTATTTTTCATCCGATAATTCAATGATCTTATGTGTACTTAACGTTATATTATTATTTAAATCTTCATTTATTTTCCAATCCAATCCTGTAATGTGTGTAAACCACAAATTAGGATACTTTTTAGTTTACTTTAGTCTGTGATGGTGTAGAATCTAGACTATGGAAACTAAAGAATGGCCTCCTAAAAACACAAATTAGAAAGATATAGTAGGAACAGATAGGAAACAGGCCCTATAACGGAACATTCGTAGAGGTAGTTCCGTGGCCCGTGACAGCACGCTGGTGGCGCTAGTGTAACGAATAGTGACGCGCCTCAAACCTTTATGGATCGGTTACTATTAGTAATGTCCTGTATCGCACTTTTACGGTAAAAATTACGGTTTCATCGGTCCTAGTTACTTTTTCAAATTGCTAATGTTTTGTGGTTTAAAATAAAATATTGTACTTTCAGTTATATCTGTTTAATAACGAAAGCTACTAACGTTTCGTAAAGGTGTTAACGCATGGGAGAAGAAACGGCGAAAGAAACGAAACTAACATCATTCGTTTATAGTAATACATCTACCGACTAAAAACAAAGTCTAATTAATTTTTACTTTAATTGGCAACTTAAATTCTAATGGCGTCTTTTTCAGATTTATCATTCTCTTCGCATCTTCCAACATTAGAAACAACAAGAAAATATATGATTATATATCAAAAGATTTGTAGTGAAGTAAACATAACGATCAGTTTTTTTATGTTATCGAACTCACAGTAGTAATTATAAAAATTGTTTATGCAAAATTCGATACATCAACAAAATTATTACATATTAAATGCGGAAAAGTACATAGATAAAGTGTCACTAAATCCTTGAAAATACCTTTAAATCACGTTATCATGTCACATTGTCGTGTTAAACCATCGAGCATGTTAAACTAAGCAACATCACTTTTATTTTTGTCAGTCGATATGTTGAATATTATGTGTGTGGTCTGTGTTCTGTGGTCCTCTTTCTATTCCGGGTCACCAACACTGCATTTATCTGCAGTGATACAGCATAAGTATGATCTCCCACTGTCCGGACAGCTCAAATGTAAGAAAAATAACTTGTAAGTCATATCTTATTAATATAATAAATGTATAAGTATCTGTAGCCACCAAACCACTCAATACTTACAGACAGTTACAGGACAAGTGAGTTTTCGACATGCTATTTCCACTTCTGAGAATAATGTAGGCTATGAGAAAGGCACTCTTTTATCATCTTTGATAAATTTATCCTCAAAGTGAAGTTTGCAAACCTGAAATTTAATAAATTTTGTGGAGGTAGTGCTTAAATTTCAAATTACAAATATTGAATGCCTTTTAAAACTTTTAAAACATTTCAAATATATATTTATTTCTTATATTTTTTTAATGCTTCAAGTTTTATGAGGCTTATGTGTGACTTCCTTAGAATCACCGAGAATATTAGGAGTCTTGAAATAGTTGTTTTTAAACTCTATTATTAGGCAATGATACAAATACTTGTCTTAAAGTATGTTGAAGGCTAAGGTATGTTGGTTGTTTCTCCTAAAACATTAATTCTCTATCATTTTAAGTGTGCTACGATTATCATTAAAAGTCGTAACAGGTTCTGGTGGTGAGAGGCTGCTGTATTTGAGTTCGAATAAAAACATTTTTAAAAATTTTGCCTCTTTTGCAGAACTTCCAAGAGCATAGTCTTCAGCTTCAGTCCTAGAACAAGCCACATTGTTGCTGTTTGTGACTGTACCAATTTACAATGCAAAAGCCGAACCTACCCAGAAACCCTGAATATGACTTTCGATCAGTCATATCCCCAGCCCAATCTGCGTCAAATGATATTTCAACTTTACTACTACCTCTACTAAAATTGAGTCCGTAGCTAGTTGGAACTGGGCAACTTATGTGGTATATTTTTTTGGTGTTCATTAGAACTAAATATGAAGAAGTCACCATCATATAGTGCTATGATGGCATTGTCTTTGTAATAGATACATTATTCAGCCTTTAATTGAGTATAGCCATTGGTAATTAAAACTTTATGCACTTTTCATTCCAGGTTCCGCTGGCTTGTTTGAGTCCATATAAACTCTTCTTGAGTAGACAAACTTTGCACTTCAATCTCAAATTCAGTAGGTTGCTCCATGCAAATGCATTCATTACGATCTCCATTGAGGAATGCCGTATTAATGCATTCATTGATTATAATAATCTTTGGGCATGCAGGTAATCGTTCAGCCATCGAGTTCGCTTTTGCTGTGCACAAATTAGAAAGATATTTGCTGTGTAAAATAACTTACATAGGCATGCCTATGAATGCGGTTTCGGTGCGTAAGTGACGATGTTAATCTTGACTCTCTACGCTGCAAGGCCACCGGCACAGGTTTGCTGTCTCCGATGTGGATGAACAGCCATCGACGAGGTACCTATGAACACGGGGCTTGTCTCTGAAAACACAAAAAGAAACAAAACAAACAATGTACAAACCAATAAGTTGAAATTGCAGAAGTCCCACGCCAACAAGCTGGTCGCTAATTGTTTCTGCAAAAAATAATAAAAGTTTTATTAGAAATAGTAAATCTTTCCCTCGCAAAGCGAAAAGAAAAACTCAGAATTCTACAAAAGAAAATTAACGGTTTAACTTTTTCTTATGTCGAATCGGACAATCATCCTTTCTGCATCGTGACTCAAAATTAGATTTTTTAATGTAAAATTTATTTAAGTTTTAACTACTAGAAAAACTTATTATAACAATAAATTTAACACGTCAATTTATTATGCATTTTAAATAATTTACATAATTTCATTCCAAGAGTTGCCGATTCTTTATAAAACTGTTAGATATATATTTCATTTTTAATCTGTTTTTGTGTCAAACGCCATGGGCCTCGTAACGTCCAATTAAATAAGACCTCCATACCCAGTACGAAAGTTTGATATTTAGGTTCTGAATAAAATGGTTCTAGAGGATGATCTTCTATGGTCGGCTCAAATACTAGAGTGTTTCCGTAGCGTGCTTATAAATGACATAACAATTACCAAGCAAGATAACCTCAACTTTTGGTTTTTTTTAAATGAAATTGGGACTTTTCAGTGATAAGTAAAAATATAATAATTCAAGTGTCTCAGTTACGAAATAAGTAGTAAATGCCAGTACATTAAGGGGGGTTTAAAATGTCGTTGTTACGTTCCACAAAGTTTGTGCGGTATTTCACTGGAGCGGCGAGAACACTTATATTGAATTCAGCAAAGACCGCAGAAGCGAATTTGTTAGTAAATCCTAAGGCTCTGTGTTCTGCTAATAAGTAAGTTGATTGTTATTTAATTCTTAAGCTATTTATTACTGAAAATACGCGATATAACTTGTATGTCTTATTTAATTTGCATAATGAATATGAGCAACACGTTACAATATTGCTATGATAATGTAAGAAGAATACTGTGTAGGTAGCTTAAATTCTTGCATTATAAAATCTTTGCCTTTGTATGGACTTTTATACTTTTAAAAATTGCTTAACATTTTCGTTCGGGGCGTTTTTCTTATTTGAACTATAGTTTGTCCCAATCCATTTTGAATAAAAAGTAAACAAACCTGTGTGGTTAATATTCCAAAGCAATTACTCAATAAATCGAATAAGTAGCACTTTCACGTATATTTCGAAGATTTCGACTTGATATATCATCACTTTTCCCAACAATGTTCATTTGAATAGCATCGTAAAATCGTATTTGAAAAATGGTAGTCCAAAAGTGAGGTTATTATTCATCTATACTTTTATGACTTGCCTATGGTTGCATAGTGCTGTTTGCAAAAAAATATTCAGTTCAATCAATTAAAATTTAGTAACCGATTATTAAATCGAACATTTCAATCGCAATCGAGGGAGTATCTAAGTGTAAGGATTTGAAGTAGGATTTAAATTGAAATTTTAAATATGCTTATGTAGGTTATGTAAGGAAAACTGCTAGTTAGACTCAATTGAACAAATTGATTCATTCAATTAATTCATTGATTTGTAGTTGGTGTTACAATTGGCCACCACTAAATCGTCTATGGTGGGGTCAGTGACTTGTTTGTTTCTTTTTTGTTCAAAATGGATTGAAGCAAAGTATAATACCAAAATTTTTGCAGTGTTGTTCTGCGAGATTACGCGACATCAAAAAAGACTGACCTAGAGCCGCTGCTGCAGAAACTAGACTCAGAGGTGCGGCGATATGGACGGATAGCAAAAAGAGACATTGATGAAGTTTTTGACGAAATCCAGACCAAAAATGACATCACAAGTTCACAATCTCTATTGGTTATCAGATGCTGTGGTAATATTATGGTTAAATATTAATTTTTAGCTGTTAATCAAGTCAAATCAATAATAAGAGATATAGAGATGACTGGGCATGGACTGATAATTATAATGATATGTGTTATATAACTGAACATTTAAGCATACAGCCATGGGCAATGTCCAAAATTATAGAGAATGCATGGTAACTTACTTGTTTAGGGATTACCAAATTATGTGAATTAAAACAATTTATAGTTATTAACATTTCATAGGCCTACCAGTCAGTGCTTTAATCACAGCAGAAATTCTTGTGGGGTAAATAGGTTTTACAATATAATAATATATGGCAATTCTCACACAAAATATAGCAATATCGAGATATAGAAATGTGAATGACATATACAAATAGCGTTTCCCTCATGATGCTAGTGGAATTGCAGTTTTTCCATTGTGTTTATTGTTGTTTATTAGCTCCTGACTTTGGCTTTAATAAACCCCATAAATAATTCTTCTTCTATTAAATGTTATGGCCTCATCAAAGTAATCAATGACTTTGCCAATATCAAGTTGAGTAACACACACATTTTCACTTAAAATTTTTGACTTTGACTTTTTGACTTGACTTTTTTTTTTGTGCATGTCACAAAATAAGTAAACTTATTATTACCTGACTTTACGGTTTTTGACCAATTTTATCCTGTGCAACTTTGGTTTTTAAAGTCCATTCAAACATGGCTTTCTTGTTATTTTCTGAGAGCCATGGTTTCTTCCCAGCTTCCCAACCTTTCGAGTCAGCTTCCTGAAGCCTTCTTTCAGTAGTACGAGCAGAAATTGATCTCTTGGTATCAATTGACAACTCGAATTTAGAATACTCGAATTTATTTTAAAAAATTAAGGTCTATAGAAGCTTTTTCTGATTTTTTTTTTTCAATTCTCTCATTAACTTTTGGTTCTCGCAATTTGTGGTGATGCATTTACACCCTGTTCTGTGTCTATTAGTATGAAATATCTACCTGTGAGTTCCCTTGCTCATACGGAACCTGTACCTGCCTGCACATATTGTTCTGAAGTAAGTTCGTGTCTTTTAGGCATATTGCAACAATAACACTAAATGTACTAAATCAAAACGCTAAACCTGCATTGCATCATTGGATGTGTACAAAACGAGTGATAGTACCAAACCGAGATATAAATACAAACATAGCACCCACCATACGAAAATAGGCTCACAAAAGCCCGTTACTACCTGTTACACCAAGTACCAAAATGGTATAATGCCAAGTTTTATTGCACCATGTTGTATTGCCAGTTGCGGTGTGGCATTACTGTTTATAAGCCTTTTAGAAGCCAAAAAATAATACTTAAACTGAAATAATTGAACAGAACTGCAATACTTAGGCTGCTCAACACTTTTGGCCAAGTCTGGATGTTTATTAATTTTCAGAAATTAAAGTTTGGTACTTTACAGTTTTAGTGTAAATTGCCAAACTATAGTAATAAAGCTTAATATGACATTATGTGGGCTGATATTGATCATTTTTATACTTAGAAAATGTGCATAATTTCATCTGTTACACCATATTACCACCTTTATTTAAGTTTGAAACTTTCAAAATCATTGTTACATTCCATTTGAATGTTTAATTTGTCTACAATTTCTGCAGGAAGAAGTTTCTACTATGAATATCCTGAGTCTTTTTAAAGACTCAGGATATTCTTAGTAGAAATGTAAGAAACCAAGACAGGTTAGTATATAGTAGTACTAGCAAATTAAGTTATTACCAGAAACAATGCAGGGCTATGTGTGTAAAGATATAATAACGCCTTACCGTCAGACATAAAACTGATTAATAATAATCTTATGTTCAAACGTAAGCTAATGTCATGGCTAAGGGACAAAAATTTCTACTCCATTATAGACTTATTTTCATACAAATTTCAACAAATCTGACTACTTAATTTAAATTAATTTAATTTGTTTTGAGCAAAGAGAAAGAAAACTTTACTTATTAACTATTTTTTTTACATCTCCATAATATGATAATGGCTTGCTATGATATTATGTTAATATTTAATTAAATTTATTTGACCAAAAATAAAAAAATATATTTACCAATTTTATTTTTTTATTTCTTAATGACATACCAATAATTTAGTATTATAATATATGTTAATAACCCTGTACTGCTATTAGAATTGCTTGAAAATTGTTAAATTATAAAATATAGATAACCATATATTATTTGCATGCCAATTTTGGTGAAATATCAGGACTGTCCTATTATTATATGTGTACCATCTTTTGTAAACCTTATTTCAGGTAAATAAATTTCATTTCATTTCAGGAGAACTAGTACCAGAAGAACTGCCAGAACAAAGAACCCTTCTTGTCCAGAAGATATGGAATGTTCTCTCGGAAAGAGGAGTACCCATGGATATTTCTCACTACAATGCTTTACTCCGGGTGTACCTTGAGAATGAACATCCATTTTCCCCAGCTAAGTTTCTGGAAGAACTTGAGTTGAAAGGGTTGCAGCCAAACAGGTGAGATTTGCGATATTTTAGCAAAACTATATGTAAAATATGTGATAATCGCTTGCCACTAATATTGTAATTTAATTAAAGTGGGAAGTTTTTTTTATATTGCACACACTCATAGCCTCGCACTAGGGAAACCCTGTATCGCGGGTGCCATGGGCATACACATAGACAACCATAAATTATACCCAAATTCCTGAAAAAAATAAATGTAGGATATACAAATATTTCCCCAGCTCGGGAATTAAACCCAGGAGCTCTGAGTCCAGCATGGTAACCATTCGTCTACAGGGACAGTTTTGCTTGGATAACCGTTTTTGATCCCACCATAATAAGTGTTTTTTCTGTTAATTATCTTATAATGTTTTAACATAAAGGAAAATCTTTTCCTTTCCGTAATATTTTGTCCATAATAAGAGAGAAAATGAATAATTGAATATCTCATAGTCACGTTTTTTCAGGGTCACATACCAAAGATTAATGTGGCGTTATTGCCAAGAAGGTGACGTAGACGGTGCTACAAAGGTTCTAGAAAAGATGAGGGAATTGAATTTTCCTGTTTCTGAACCCGTTTTGAATGCCCTAGTTATGGGACATGCATTCCATGGCGATACAGAAGGAGCAAAAGCAGTATTGGAAACTATGGCTGGGGCAGGGTTACAGCCTAGCAACCGTACTTATACTTTATTAGCTTGTGGATATGCTAAGGAAGGAGACATAGATGGTGTTAAAAAAATTATACAAACTGCTGTGGATCAGGATGTCATTATGACTGATAAGGTAAGCTCATTATAAGTCCGTCTAGTAGGTATGTACGATTAATGCAGTTGCTTCTTATAATAATAATAATAACGCACACACTCGACATAGCACTAACACTAGCAAAACTATACGTAAAATATGTGATAATTGCTTGCCACTAATATTGTAATGTAATTAAAATGGGAAGTTTTTTTTATAATGCACACATTCATAACTTCGCATTAGGGAAACCCTGTATCGCGGGTGCCATGGACACACACATAGACAACCACATATTACACCCAAGCTCACGAGAGAAATAAATGTAGGCCATATAAATATTTCTCCCGACCCGGGAATCGAACCTGGGACCTCTGCGTGGCAGTCCGGCATGGTAACCGTTCGGCCACAGAGGCAGTCTTGAATTATGAATGTTGTATGTGTCTGAATTAATATGAAATGTTCAATTTCCAGGATATTTTGGATATCATAGAGCAGCTAGCTGTTGGAGGTCATGGGGACAAAGTAGAACACTTATTCCCATATCTACACAAAGGACCAGGTTATAACCAAGATGTTTGCAACCTTGTCCTAAAACTTCTCAATAAGGGTGAAGAAGAAACAGCAAAGAAAATCATGAAAACTATGCCCAAAATGGGTACTTATGACGACACAATTTTCAAAGGAGCTTTTTTCGTCAAACAGCTATTCAGACTGAACAAACCGGCAGAGCAATTAATTAAATCATGTAAGGACCTCCAGCAAGAAGATCTTGTTCCCAATGCTATATACATAGCAACTGAAACTGCGCTACAACAAGGTCGCACAGAGGTAGCTCAACTACTTTTCAAAGAGCTAGAAAACGAGGGCAGAGAGATCCGTCAGCATTACTTTTGGCCTCTGTTAGCTCAGAAAGGAAAGGAACACGACGAAGAAGGTCTCTTACAAATTCTTCGTGACATGGCTGGCAGAGGATTAATGCCAAGTGGAGAAGCTTTAAGAGACTATGTCATTCCGTACTTGTTGGACAAAGACAATGAAGAAAATGTTATTCTCAAACTGCAAATAGGGAATGTCCCCTTAATTTACAGTGCTAGGAACTTGATGGTGGAACTGTTGGAACAAGGTAAAATTATGAAAGCTGCAAACATAGCTGTTAAATATCAACCGCGTGGACAGTACTCCTTAATGTCGCGTCCGCTTCTAAACGCACTGGCAAAGACTAAAGACATTAACTCTTTTGCTACGATTTTACATGTCATCAGCAGCCAGGGTCCAACCACTCAAACTGAAGAAGATGTTGCAAACGACGATGCTCAAAGTGATGATAAAACCAATAGCAATGAGATTGGACGGCTTGTTAAAAATGCTGTAAGAATTCTCGGGAAACCCGATTTGTGTAAAAATCTACTAGAAGCTATTCATTCCAAAGGATTGAGGATAAGCACTGAGGCTGCAGAGGCGATACAACAGCAACTTAGTCAGGATTTGACAACTGATTTATCAGAATTGCTCTCCAAGTTGACTTCTTCAGATTTAGAACTTGTACCCCTCGAGAGCCCTCGTCGAGGAATTTCAGTCAGAAATAGTGCTCAACTAGAACGCCTACTGGCACAAGCTAAATCCAAAGGTTCTCCTAATGTGAATCGCTTGCAAAAGCAATTGTTAACCACGTACATTATTGAAAATAATGTTGAAAAACTCAACAATTTTTTGGTTGAACTGAAATCGTCAAAATTCGAACTCTCACCGGCCACTCTCGCTCAGTTGTTCGAATTTTACTGTCAAAATGATGATATAAATAAAGCTAAAGAGTGTGAGCAGGAGATGCATACTAAGGACCCAGAGTACAAGCTCAATAAGTACAAGTTAATTTTGATGGCTTACGCCTATGTACGTGCAAAGAGATATGATGAAGCTCTAGAGTTTCTAAAATCTCATAAAGTTACTTCGAATAAGGAGAACAATAATTTTATTTTCACCTCTAAATGTTGGCAGATGCTTAACAGTTTGGCTGAGGATAAGCAAGATGTTATTGTAAGTATATGAAAGTAATAAATTTAAAATTAGTACTTTGTGGCAATTATGTTGACAATATTATATTAAACAAGATGCTACAATACTAGTTCCTACAGTGACATGGACATATATACATAGATACTTATACTTCACGCCTTTTTCCCATCGGGGTAGGCAGAGACAACAGTCTTCCACTTGCTACGGTCCTGACACACATCTTTCGCCTCGTGATATGGACAATATGTTCAAAACATTTGCGGCCACCCCATTACCTTATAAATCGCTATAGACAGCTAGATTTTAGGCAGAAATAGATTAAAACCCGGTGCTCTGGGAAATAACCCGTTTAAAACGCGGGCGGCTTGATTGAGTTTTACCCACGTTTTATCCCACTGCCCATCTCTGCTAGCAATCGTTTGAAAATACGATGGATTTTTACAATAATGTTAATACTGCCGTCTGTTGAATTGTTTAAAGAAACAGAAGTCTTTTATTAAAAGTAATGTATACATTATGTTTTCAAACATATTTTACAGTTAAAAGAAATGACTAAAGTGCTAATAGAAAATGAATTCACGGAACCAACCAACGTTCTATTGGGGCCATCTATAAAAGTACATCTGCTAAAAGATGACATAGACGGCGCCTTAGACGAGTTCCAGAACTGTTGTAAAAACTATCGTTGTACGCCGTGGAAGGGAGAACTGATGAAGACACTTATCATGAAGGAAGATGCTACTAGGTTGCAATGGCTCGCTGATTTAAGTACACAGGTAATTTTATGATACAGAAAAATTTACGTAATATTTACATTTTATTCCCTTAAAATCGCATATTAAAAACCTTGAATAATAATTGAACCCTTGATAGTTAAGTAAAAGTATACATAATTTTTCTGATGTTTAGAAAAGTGCGATAATCTTTGATATTTTGGGTACTTTTGTTATTAGATTCTATGTTGATAATAATTACACAAAAACATTTTTAATCTTGTATATCGTTGTCAGATTCACGGCGAAGTGAACATTCTACATGATCTCGTGTTAGCTTTCGTGGAATGTGGGCGGCTGCGGCAGGCGAGACGCATCCTCGAGACCCCCGGCCTAAATCCGCGCGCCAAACGCTTCCAGACCGCGTGCCAACGATACGTCGAGGTACCTACTTACCTCTCATTATTATTACAACGACAATATGGTTACATTCACAATGATCTTTATATTATTATATGATTGTGAATGTCTACTGATCATTTGGCATAAAGGAGCTTCATTGCAACCAGCTTTACATTTTGCTTTCTACATGAAGCTAACGTTGCCATATTAGTAAATATATTCCGTTACAGCAAAAAGAGGTCCTCCACATTGCACTAAACATGTTATAATTCCTATGTTTTAACTAACAGGAGGGCAAATCAGAATACCTCGAAGGCCTGCTCGAAGCAACGAAAGAACTTTCACACATCGACCGTTCCAACATCTTCTATCATCTGCTCATCACATACTGCAAGGCTAATGAGACTGACAAGGCTCTAGGTCTTTGGACCCTGCTCCAAGAAGAGGGAGAGATACCAAGCGAACAGTTCCTGAACTATCTCGGTAACCATCTTAAATCCAAGAACCGCGAAGTTCCTTTCGCAATGCCAGGAGACCATGCCCCTAAGCCAAAATCTAAAACAGATATTGTAAAACCACCAAAATCATCCCAACCAACAAAAGTTGAAGTGTCAAAAATGATTGAAGATCTTGTCAATAATGAGAATCCATCCGAAGCTATGGATGTCGCTATAAGATCAATCCAACAAGGTGTGATCCCAAAATCGTCTGTCCTGAAATATTTGTTAAAGACCCTAGCAGAGGCAGGTAATGTGGAAAAGATACAGCTGCTAGGAAAGTATATAAACGATACAATGAAACGCAATGTGACGTTTGATGATAAACTAACCTTGGCAATTTTCAACCGTGGCGCGGGCGCACAGCATATAGACAGTCTTCTGCAGTCAGTGAACACTGCCAAAAATGAGGAGGAATTGGAAGCTGTATTAAAGAAGTTCCCTAGAAGTAATGCTTTGGCTTCTATAGTGAACAATGAAGAACTGGTAAAGAAATGTAAGTACTATTATACAGAGTGTTTACTTTAAATACAGTAAGCGAAAATCCGAAATCATAGAAGATAAAATGAACCATAAAGTCTTTTTTGTGAAAACAATTTTTGCGTAGTAAATTTTCTTTCATTTAATCAAAATTTCTTTTAGTGCTGGTCGACTCAGTTTCATGAAGGGATAATTTCATTGTATGGGGCGAAAAAATCGGGACCCTTAATTTTTATTATACGAGTGACTTTAATCTCCGTCCAAATTTTAACATTGGTTAAAAAATACTCGTTTTTTAGAGTCACTCAGTAATAAAGTACTCGTATTGAGAGAAAGCACCACAAGATTATCTAAAAAGTACTTTTTTCTTGACGACCTCAGTGGTAGAGTGACTTACACACCAAATTTCATGGTGTCGCCATATCTGAGGTTCTGACTTCGATCCCCGGTCGATTCAATGTAGAAAACTAACGTTTCTATATTATCTCGGGTCTGGGTATTTGTGGCACCGTCGTTGTTTCCGATTTCCATAACACAAGTAATAATAATAGCACACACACTCAACATAGCCCTGCATTAGGTAAGCCCTGTGTCGCGGGTGCCATGCCAGGGACACACACATAGAGAAATACAAATTACACCCAAACTCACGCGAGAAATAAAAGTAGCTCATATAAATATTTCTCCCAGCCCGGGAATCGAACCTAGGACCTCTGTCTGTCGAAAGTGCTCTAGTTACTTACTTCGGGATCAGAGCAACGTATGTGATGTTTAATTATTTGTTTATATTTATTTACTTTTGCAGCCATCTGCGCGCACGCACCCTTCATGCATAAGCCTGCAAAAATTATCTCCTCATACTTTTTGTAATTGTACTGTTCTTATGTGTATAAATTGATACAACTTAGTGACAATGCGTATTGACTTACGTCGAAGCGTTCTAGCGTTTAGCATTATTTTCTCAAAAATAATTAAAACATGTTTTGGATTTTCTCTCGAAGCAAAGCGCATGTAACCTTGTGCGGGTTTCGAATAACTAAAGCTGCCTTAAATTTTTTCCTAAGTAGGGGGATGTAAAGAAATTTGATGACCATCAAAATCGCGAGTATTCTAGATAACGAACTCCAACCTCGTATAGCAATTGAAAGCTTTAATTTACATTACATTGACCTACCAATAAATGGACGTCGGGTTTGCGCTAAAAAGTGTCCGCACCTGTAGGGCGTTAAAATTGCATCATCAACAGAGCGTCAATCGCGCAATAGTCTTCGTTTGTTCCGAGTGACAGCGCGGTTGTCAATTATGCAGTACCAATATATGCAGTACAAATAATAACTTGTAAAAATTACTGCAGTAAAGTGTGAAAACAAGATTTTGTATCATATTTGCACTAAACAAATATATTGTGTTATCATACTTATCATTTAAAAGTGTTATTTTGTACAGTTTTATAGTATTTAATTTATATATAACTGAATCGTAAATATAAATTACAGAATGCACACGAAATAATGAAATAGCTAACTGTCTGTTTTACGGCATGGGATTACCTATCAGAAGTCAGAAAATACATTTGCCCGAAATAACATTAGCTCGAATTTTCATAATGTGTTTTTACGAAGATTACAAAAAAAAGTTAATTTTTGTCTACGTAAAAAGCATCAAAATTACTCGAAAGCGTAATGGTTTTGTTATAAATCGGAATTACGGATATTTCAGTTTACGTTTAGTTAGAATATCGGTACATTTCTTATAGTACATGCTTATTTTCACATTTGTAGTAATAATTGTATGTATGTATCTGCCCAACTCTTTATTATACCTTTAAGTGAATTTGTACAAAATTCGACATAATAATATATATAAAAAAATTAATCAATATTTACGAGAAAGGCTAAATATGGTGCATTTTGTTAAGTTTCCAATAGAAGCTGA